ATAATCATTCTAGAGTAAAATTACATTCTAAATTCCAAATTTTCATTCCCTCTTAAAAAATGTCATTCCAATTTTAAAATTTTCTGTCTTACTTTAAAACTTTCATTCCAAGAATGGGGTATCCCTTCTTATTTGAACTGCATGCTAGAGATGGAATGAAAGTCTGGATGAGTTCATGAAATATTTTAATTGGACTGTCATTCTAAGTAAGGATTTTCAATCATAAATAGGTTAATCCAATCTAAATTAGACGATATTTGCTGTAGTAGAATGAAAGTCTGATTAAAACATTTCATAAACTCGTCCAGACTTTCATTCCATCTTGAACAAATAGATGTAGTTGGAAGGGAAAACTTATATTTAAACGGGAACTTATCAAATTAAATTGAAAATTTTAGAATTGGACGAACAATAGAATGATAATTTAGAAATATAAAGGATTTTTTTTTTATGGAATGGTTTTTCAACTTTCATTTCTCATGGGAATTTTTCTGTTGATGTTCTTCATCATCGCTTCTAGCCGAGTGTTATGCTCTCGCTTTATGGAATGTTTTTTCAACTTTCATTTCTCATGGGAATTTTTCTGTTGAAGTACCGAATGAGAAAATTGCACCTCACCACACTTTAAACTAATCGTGGAAAAACACACAGGTTACTATATGGAAGGCATTTGCCAATCATCGACATTTTCTTACCCCTGCCTAAGTACCAACGATTAAAAGCTCCGTGCTCGGCATCACTTTACAACAATCGTCACCCCGCCAACCCGACTTCCACATTGATCTATCAAGATCTTTCATTCTGTCGCAACCATAGGACGCGCGATCCGACAAAACCATGATACACTCGTCAAGACTTTTCGATATGTTGAACACTCGTGCATAGTCACTACTCGCCGCGAGATGGACATTCACCCGCATCAACGCCCGCCGTGTACCCGGACCCGTGGGCGCGCTCTCTCGTTTAGCGACGCACTATCAACAATTCAGTATGCACGCCACTCTGCACGCCTAACCGCCCTCGATCGCCTTCATCCGTCGGCCTCGCACCAAAACTTCGACCCGATTGCGGCTCGCAGCGGACCATCGACCTCCCCTCACCGACCAATGCTGCTTAAGGGGTAGGATGCAACAAAACTTTTTTTTTTTTTTTTTTTTTTTTTTTTT